TGCGCGCGCGATTGGCACGTTCGGTAGTATGTGGTGAGCATGCTGGACAAGCACAATAACGGTTGTCTTAAGAATTTGCACGAGCGCGAACTCAGGCTATTCTGAAAATTAAGGTTGCAATACCTACCTGGTATCGTGACACTCGGTCTTGAAACCCTTGCTAAACTCCAGGGGTCTCAAACATCCGGGCACCCGGGCGCGACGACGCGCGCACGCACTTCGTCCCATGTTTTGCAACGGGTGTTTGCGACTGTTCGAGCGATTTCGACACGCGCGCGCGAGAGGCACGTCGAGTAGAATGTGATGAAAAAGCTGACAAACCGATACGTTTCTTAAGCGATACGTTTTTCTATACAAAAAAACTCGCACGGGCGTGATCGCAAGCTTTAGGATTTACAAAGAGTGATGGTTGCAAAGCCACTGGTGGTTTCAAATGATTTCTGGACAATCGGTTTTTGAACTCCTGACGCCAGGTTTTGGTGAATTTCGACACACGCGCGCGACCACGCGCGCGCGCACTTCGTCCCATATTTTGCAAGGGTTTCCTACCTCACCACGCGCGCAAGGGCGTTCGAATGAATGCGACATGCGCGAGCGAGAGGCACGCGTGGTAACATGTGATGAGCATTATATATATTATATATACATACAAAACACACACACACACACACACACACACACACACACACACACACACACACACACAAACACACACATAAAAAAACGATGCTAAATGTGCATGAGCGCGAGGTCACGCTTTCAGCACAAACATCACGCCGCAAAGCAATATGGTGTTTATTTAAATGTGTTCGGGACACTCGATTGTGATAGCCCTGCGAAACTCAAGGCTTTTGAAGGATCCTGGCACGCGCGCGCGACGACGCGCGCGAGCGCACGTCGTCCCATTTTCTGCAACACTGCCTCCCCCCCCCGTGATCATGCGCGGCGGCACCGCCGCCCATCCCGCGCACTGCTATCTCGAACGCCTGACTTCACGAGCCGGCGGCGCACGCTGCCCGTCCTTCGATCGGAACGCCCTCGACCGCCCCAAATGCGCACGTTAATGATGTTCTCGCTGCAGCGCTGGCCACATGTTGGGACGGGCCACGCGCCCCCGCTGCCCGTTTGGCGCTCTCCCCCCAGCGCGGGCCACCGAGCCGCAGCCCCTGGCCCAGGCCGGAGGAAGACAACGCGCACGGCCGCCTTCGCGGGCCCGCGCGCGCAAGGCGGCGGCGCTGCAGCCCAGAGAGGAGACAAGAAGAAAAGGGAAGGAGGAAGAAGGAGGAAGAAGAGGGAGGACGAAGAGGGAAAACAAGGCGAGTTGACGCCAATATGCAGGAGGAGAGGGGGGAGGCAGAGGTAGCAGCAGGAAAGCGCGCACGTTGGGGGCGGGCGGGGGAAGGGGGAAGGCGGGGGGCGTCGGCGGCTGACGGGGGTCGTCGTGGGACGGAAGGCGTCGGGGTCGTCGTGGGCGCGGGGGTCTGGGGTCCGCCGCGGCAGGGCCCGCCGGGCGTCAGGCGGGGCGGGCGGGGTCCGGGGGGTCGTCGCGGGACGTCGCGGCACTGGCGGTCTTCGTGGGTCGTGGGAGTGGGCGGCAGGACGACGTGGGCCAAGGGTCGTCAGGAGAAGGGGGGGCGGGGGACCGGCTGTCGCCGTCTGCGACTCACACGGCGTCCGCCGCGGCCGCCGCCGCGGCCGCTGCGAGGCGTGCAACCGCCGCCCCGGTCGACGGCTGCAGCCGCCGCAGCACCGCCCGCGCACTCTCCCGATGAAGGGAGATTGAGAGTTGCTGGGCGCGCCGGTCCGCCACTTCGGCGGCCTCCTCCCCAGTGGCGTCAGCCACACGCTTGGCCGGGATCACGACGGCTCTCCTGGCCTCGCGCCCCCACCCGTCGCCGTGGGCCTCCACCACCGTGGGTATGAAGGTGAGGCCCTGCGCCGCGCAGTGGTGCTGCGTGTCCTGGCGCAGCTGTTTGAACTCCTCGCAGCGCACGCGGCGGAGGCGGGGAGGAGGTCGGCGCGAAGCCTGGAAGTGACGGCGAAATCCCAGGCTGCTGGCACCCCATTGCGCCACCTGGGCAGGTAGACGTCAACAGGGCGGCGGTCGCCAGCGCCAAAGTCCTGCCCGTCCACCTCGCCGCCCAGCGGCCCCTCGTTGGCGGCGCGCGGACTCGGGAGCCCTGGCCGTTCCAGCTCTGCGCCCGCGAAGCCGGCCGCCTGCGCGTCGAAAAAAACCTTGGTTCCAGAGCGCGTTGTGCCGCTTTGTCCTGTCCCCTCGGCAGGAGCAGGCAACGGCGTGGTCTAGCCAGACGTCCATCACCCTCCGCACGCGGGGCAGAAGTCCCCGCGGTCCGGGAGCTGGACTCGGAGTCGTCGCTGGACAACCACCTGGCAGAGGCCGTGCTGGAGGCAGGCGCCAGCGCCGGGCGCCTGGAGCAGGCTCAGGTGCGCCTGGGTGGCGACCGAGGCGCCAGCCTGGAGGCCACACTCCTTGATGAGATCCCGTCCTCGCTGTTGACCCCCCCCGCTCCTCCACCTTCCCTTAGCCCTACCACTCCTCACGTTCATCCAACTCCTCCTGCTCCTAATCCTCCTTCTCCGGCGGCGGACGCGTATTCCCGCGCCGCCCGGAGGTTCAGTGATTGGGAGCAGGCAGACACCTCCGCCGTCATTCAGGGAGGGCGGCCTCCCCGACAATGGCCAGCCATTTAGGACGGCGGCCAATCCCAGGGGAGAGGGGCCTGCCGGCCAGGGCACACAGACCCTGTTGCCTGGGGGCGTAGCCAGCATCGTGAGGAAAGATTATTCCGCATATCAGAACAAAGGGGGTGGTCTGATTTAGGAGGGGGTCTGATTTGAGCTGTCTTGGAAGGTCCAAGTGGGGTCTGCGCAAAAGGCTGCATTTTCATTGGCTGGTCTGAGGGGCTGAGGGGGTCTAAAACTGCTCGTCTGGGACGCTTGTGACCCCCACCCCTAACTTATGAAATTCGGAGTAGCCGCTGTGGGCACCAGGCCGCCAGCGCACCAGCCTGGCCAGCTGCGGCCGCCCGCCGCCCCAACTGCGCCCGCGCCCCCCGGCTCCCGGGCAGAGTCGCGCCGTCGCCGGCCTCCCCTGGCGGTCTGGCGGCGCGCTTTGGCCGCCGCCGCCCAGCGCCCCCTCGGCCCCCGCCAGCAGCCCTGGCGGCCGCGCCCCTTGGCAGTTCGCGCCGCCGCCGCCAGGCCCGCATCGTGCCGCCGCCAGCCCGGCGCGCGCCGTGCAATAAGAAGAAAACGTTTGGCGCAGGCCCTCTAACCGGAGCGTCGGGCCCCGCCATCGCAGACTTGCCCGCTGTATTATTTGCCCGCGGGCTGTCGGCAACGCGAGACGACCCTCCATCAGCTCCCGACTCCAACCTCCTCCTCCTCCTCCACCTCCTCCTCCTCCTCCTCCTCCTCTCCTCCTCCTCCTCCTCCTCCTGCTCCTGCTCCTTGCTCCTGCTCCTTGCTCAGCCCTAGCTCCTCCACCTCCTCCTCCACCTCCTGCCTCCGCCTCCTCCTCCTCCCTCCTCCTCCTCCTCCTCCTACTCCTCCTCCTCGTTCTCCTCCTGCCTCTTCTCTCCTCCACCGCTTCCATCCTCCACCTCCTCCTCCTCTCCTCCTCCCCTCCTCCTCGTCCTCCTCTCATCCCTCCTCCACTTCCCTCCTCATCCACCTTCTCCCCTCTCTTCTCCTCCCCCCTGCCTCGTCCTCCTCATCCCCCCCTCTTGCCCTGCTGCATATGATTTTCATGGTCCTCTCCTCCTCCTCCTCCCCTCCTCCTCCTCCTCCTCCTCCTCCTCCTCCTCCTCCTCCTCCTATTGATGTTATGAGTGCGATTGGTAGGATTAGTGTTGTGAGCGGTAGCAGGATTAACAATAGTAGTATGATTACTACTACTCCAACTGATATTAGTATGAGTGTTACTAGTGTGACCAGTATGAGTATCAGTGTTTCTAGTCCGCCGGCCCCCTTGTGGGGCCACCAGGCTGCGAGGCGCGTGATTCGCAGTTTCCTGTACCAGTTGTAGTTTGTAGTTTCCAGTGTTACAGTTCTGCTTCTTGCTGGTTATTGTAACTAGTTGACTTCTTGCTGGTTACTGTAACTAGTTGATTGACCGCGCGAGGGGGGGGGAGGCCCAAACGGGATGTTTAGCGCCTCCTGGGCGCGTTGTCTGAATTGCTGGGGGGGCTCGAAATCGACACCCCTCACGCAGATCCGCGGGGTCAGGGTCCAAAAACACAGGGGATTTGCCACATTTCTGAAATTCGGCGCCACCCCTCACGCAGATCCGCGGGGTCAGGGTCCAAAAACTCAGGGGATGTGTTACATTTCTGAAATTCGGTGCCACCCCTCACGCAGATCCGCGGGGCCAGGGTCCAAAAACACAGCGGATTTGCCACATTTCTGAAATTCGGTGCCACCCCTCACGCAGATCCACGGGGTCAGGGTCCAAAAACACAGCGGATTTGCCACATTTCTAAAATTCGGTGCCACCCCTCACGCAGATCCGCGGGGTCAGGGTCCAAAAACACAGGGGATTTGCCACATTTCTGAAATTCGAACCCATCACGCACATCCATCGCAAGGCGTGGTAACCCAAACTGCGAGAACTCCCTCGGCCCTTTCATCGCAAGGTGTGGTAACCAAGCCCTTAAACCATACACGTCTTACCAATCGCCAGGTGTGGTAACCCCTCTTGTGATCAGTTGGTGTTGCTGATTGCGACTCCGCTTCGCATGAAGTTTCGATACTGCTTCACGACAGCGCCAAGGCCTCATGACTTAGCTCTTCCATGGCCCATTCTCCGAGAGGGGGCCGGCGGCAGGGGGCGAAGCCCTTACGGATATGAATGGTTGTATCAGTGTTGTATCAATATTGTCATCACTTATGTATTGAAATACTGGTCGTGTAAGGAACATGTTTCTTATGTATTCTTATAATTAACAATCATATTATATGTAGCGTGATTGTGCTTGGCAGTGTTAGTACTCGTACTGGCATGCTAGTTTTTAGGAGTACTAGTCTTAGCATTCGGATGTGTATCGTTATGCTTACATTGGTTAGTACGATTGCTACCATTACGAATAATACCAACACTACTGCTACTACTACTACTACTACTACTACTACTACTACTACGACGACTACTACTACTACTACTACTACTACTTCTACTACTA